AACTTTAGAATAGACATAATACATAAATATGATGGGATAAGACACAAGTATCTCCTTAGACTATGACCGAAATTTCAGAGACACATCTTAACAAAATTAAGGTCCTATTACCCCTGAACTTATTTTTTTGTAATTGTGTGCACCTTTTAGCTTACGTGGCATACTCCGTGACTCTACGAAATTGAGGCGCATGGGAGATATTTGGATGTCACATAAGCCAAAAAGGTGTACAAAATTACAAAAAAAATGGATTCAGGAGGTAATAGGACCTTAGTTTAGTTAAGGTGTGTCTCTGGGATTTCGGTCATAGTCTAGGGATACTTGTACCTTTTTCCTAAATATGATTTTTAACTTGGCTTCAACTGGTATCCATGTCCTTCAACTTTGGGAATGCACAAGTAGACACTTAACTTTGTATAAATTAAACAATTAGACACATATCCTACATGACATAATACACATAGGACGTCACATAGGACAAAAATTGTCATGTAGGATGTCACGTGGGTCAAATATATCTATTTATTTAATTTTATACAAATTTAAGTGTTTATTAGTGCACACTCAAAGTTAGAGGGCGTAAATGTCAACTGAAGTCAAGTAAAAAGACATATTTATATATTATGCCTTTAGAATATCCTCCACCTCGTCGTTAGTGACATTAAAAATCACAACCCATCCACCATAGAAAATAGTCAGCACTGCAATCTTCATGTCATTTTTTGAGCAACAATAAGCCTCGACATAAGACTAAAAACGATCAACAAAGGGTAATTCTCCCAAGGCGTTAAAGGATCTAAAAGGCTCGTGCATTTTGATGCTGCTACGGCATTCACTAATCCAATAGAATCAATCTTCAAAACTATACTATCAATATGCATATATATGCGCATATAAACGAATATATGTAACAAATTAGTGAAAGGAGAGAACAAAAGTAGTACTGGACGTTTTCTTCATGTTGAAAGTGCAGTAATGGAGGTGGGTTTATCAGACGTCTGAGGGAGAAGTACGAGAGAATGATGAATAAAATGTAGGAGGGGAAATTTAGGAGAGAGAGTGAGTGCATAAATTATGAAAAATATTAAGTGGGTGGTTCTATTTTTAGATTATTTTTGAAGAATGATGTATCTCAATATATCTAACATAAAAAATTATACAAATTCTTAATTAATAAAAATATATGTAATTATTTGAAAGTATAAAATAGACTTGATATATATGGTATGAATGTATATCTAATAAGGTAGTTTTTTGATTGGTAATGGTAACTTTGTGTATAACTTAGAAGAAACCCAATTTGAAAAGGAATCGAATGCATACCTTATATTTACGTTCAGTTTAATTAGTATAAAGAGGAACTTTGGTATATTGGCATACCCTTGACCCTTGTTTCATACTATATTTTTGTGGTTCATGGCAACCTTTTGTGTTATGGGGTTTTTTGGCTTGAAAGCGTTTGGATCTTATGAAGCCAACATTTGAAATCACACTTCAGTAAGTTGTTTCTTTTCTTTGATGTTTTGAAATTCTTTAGTTTAATCTCCCTGGTGTAAGTTTTTTTTTTTCTTTATGGTGTTGATTGACTTTGTATCTAGAATTTTATGATGGGTTTAACTTTTATATATATATAAGTTTTGGGTTTCATGATTTCGTGTTGCGTCTGAAACGTTCTGTCCCATCCGGAGTCTGAGTTTGGATCCTTGGGGAGCACCATGATGGTTTCCCTTGCATCTTCTTGTCTTTTCCCCTTTTCCATGATTGTATGAGGCCTCACCTAAGAGTGTCTAATGTGTGGGCTGATCCAGGATCAGTTGTTTCCGTCAAGATTAGACTGGTCCATGTAGAGGGGCAGGGTTGGGTTAGGTTATACAATAAATCAGACCCACATAAATACTTTTGGGGTGTCGGACGATCTGGTAAAGTCCCATCAGATATAGAATCGGTTAATCGACTCAGACCTATTGGGCTCGGTTCAACAATAACCTTAGGTTAGTAAAAAAATTTACGGGTATAACTCATAGAAATTCCACTAGTTTAGGAGCCAATTACTTACATACACGCAGTATTATGAATCTTAGCAGAATTTGGTGCGTCCAGATACATGTGTCTTGGGATACACGAGGTTAAAATTAGGTTGTTCTAGATATATTATATCTAACTAGATTCGCATGTACCTAGGATACATAGACAAATCTCGCTTGCCTCTCTCACCTCCCTCCCAACTCGCTCACTACTCTCGTCACTCTACTATGTATCTAGTATCTTAGATACATGTAAATTACACTAGATATATACAAATACATGTATCTAGTTATATCTAGTGTGATTCTCATGTATCTGTGATTCTCATGTATCTGTGATACATAGACTAGACAATTCTCACTCCCTCCCTCATATTCTCGCTTGCCTCTCTCCTTATTATAGTGTATCTGGTAGCAAAAAAACATGTATCTAGGTGTATCTTACTTTAAATCTGGTATATAAAATTATTAACTTAGCGATATAAAACGTAATTATCTCAAACTATATGGAGAACTAGTAAATATGGTAGGAATATATGTGTAATTTAGTAGTTTCTCCTTTTTATATATATAAATATTAAAATACTTTAAAAAATAATTATTTTTAATAAATTTTTAAAAAATATTATTTTAATATAAATCCACCCAGTTCGATATAACCCAACCCCTCACGTGCCTAAATAAATCATAATTAACCTAGCTCGACTAGAACCGGTCTCCCCAACTCGTACCACAGACCAACTAGATTGATTTTTTCTTGAGTTGAACCAGTTCGGTAGAACCCAACCCCTCACAAGCCTAAATAAATATGACGTAACCCAATTCGATTGGACCTGGTCTCCTCAACCCGTACCCTAGACCATCCAGATTGGTTTTTTTCTTGAACTGAACTGATCCGGCCCGATCTGATAGAACTCGACCTCTCCCAGATCGGTTGGAACTAGTCTCCCCAACCATACTCCAGACCAGTCGGATTAAATTTTCCCTTAATTTAACTTATCCGACCCAACATGATAGAACCCGACCCGTCACAAGCCTAAGTAAATTTGAATTAACCCAGCTGGGTTGGAATCAACCCAGGTAGGTTGGAATTGGTCTCCCCAACCTATACCCTTACACTTTTAGCCTATGCTCGTTCGTGATTTATGTTTATTTGTAATTTTATTCAAGAATATAATTTAAATCAAGGTACAAAACTGAATAACCACAATCTTAAGATTTTGGATTCGTTACAACTAATTGCCCCATTACTCCCTTTTTATATGACATTATTTAGGTCAGTTTTAAAATGACATTTTACTAAATTTATTAGTAATAATTTGACTTTAAATTTCTTCTTTGTTTTTGATAACCGTGGTACGGTTAACTTGTGTATTATATGAAATATCGATCACCTCCCACTAAATTTTAAACTTCTCATTTATCCTTAATGAGATAGTTTGCAGCAATACATATACCTATGATTTATTTTAGACTACAAATTCTGAGAGTCTTTCTCTCATTCTTAAACTCCATGTCCAGTAAAAATATCTTTTTTTTGTTAGAGAATTGAGGTTGAATACATCAAATAGTCCATTAAACTTATCATATATTTCATTTAAAACGTTCCTATGAACTTCTGACTAAAATTTGGAAAAGAATTTATATGTGTTTTCAAGTGTCCTTGTGCAAATAAGTTAACCAATTAAATATGTCACCTCAGTTTATGATTATACAGATTAGCCTAAATAAGCCCTAAACTTTCCAATTGATGTTGATCTATATAATTAAAAGAGATAGTTTATGCGACTATAGAGGTGTTTGACAACACGTGCAAAAAATATATCCTAAATTTGAGGCAAAAATATTTAATAGAAACAGTTTATCATAGGTTAAATTGTTCAATTGAAAAAGTTCATGTTGAACCATCGAAATAAAATTAATGTGATTGTATGTGAATAATCAAGAGTTTAATTTTGTAACTTTGAGGCAGTAGGCCCTCTGTCAATTTATAGGTGGTAAATGGTCGGGTTGGATTAAATTTGAACGGGTCAAGATTAAGCTCGGATGATAAATGGGTGGGTAAATGACACCCCTAATAATTATTAGGGCTTAATTGTGGGTTAAAATTCAACTTGCTCAATTCTTATTACGTTTTAATTATTTTATTTATTCTTTTATAATTTTAAGTTACCTAATTAAATTATTATTCTTTTATATCATATAAAAAAAATGTCATTTCAAAAATATTTTGATAACATTTCTCATGAATAAAGTTAAATTATATATCAACTCAACTTTCGATGGGCTGAAATTACAGTTTTTTTTCCTTTTTTCTGTTCCCATCCGGAGTCCGCATTGGAGCCCCCACTAAATTCGAATCGCACACTGCAAGCCCATTTGGGGTGAACCTCCCAATAGATTTTTCTCCATACCCAAGTCTCAAATTCGAGACATCTGGTTAATGGTAAAGCAATCCCACAACCATGTTAATGACGAGTCATTAATCGGCCTTAACTTGAGTAATTTTTCCCTCCAACACTATTTTCCGTAGAAAAAGTTTAACTAAACTTTGAGTAATTAATCTTTTAATGCCTTCTACTTCGCCTAGTTTAAAGCGTTATAACGACCCACTAGTTTAAAGCGTTCCACTTCCCCTCTTTCTATGGCACTAATCTCCCTCCCAAATTCAAGTTAAAAAACTGACATTTTCGTAGGCTTTCAGAGTTCTGCACTCCTTTAAGGCTAATGTGAATGTGAGTTTCGTTATTCTTCTTCGTTCCTATTCTTTTTGCTTCTCGATTTGTGTTTCTTCTTGCTTTACTATAACGTTTTTAATTTTGGGTTCGATTCAATAATGCCTTATCTTGTTAGGTGTTAATAATCATGTTAATGTGTTTGTGTTATCGTAAAATTGTTCGATATTATACTGTAACCAGTAAAACTGGGGTTTTTTCTAGTAAGGGTTTTAAGTTGTGTGTACTTTATAAATTGTAGATGTCTGTGTTAGCAGAAATGAGTTCCTCAGAGATGTTAGAGAAGAAGAAACTTCATCAGATGGTTGATACTAAATCTCCCTCCACATTTAAGCGCCTAAAAGTTGATGCTACCCGCAATTTCCCTGAAAATTGTGGTTCATTTGTTTGTCAAAACAATGGAAGCAAAGAGATCTACCCGGAATTTCCATCCAATACCAAGCGTGTAAAAGTCAACTCTACGAGGAGTTTTCCGGAGAATTGTGGCCCCTGTGTTCCTAAAAAGAAGAATGGAAGTGATACTCAATGCTCTGTTGATTCTGAGATCAAAAGTTGTTCTGAAGTTGATATGAATGTGGTTGAGTCAGCTGAGCCTTTAAGTGCTTTTGTGCCAGTAGAGGCTGGTGATTCAAGTCATCAGAATACCTCATGTCAACCTATTAATGGAAATCAGCCTTTGAAGATGAAAGAAGAAAATCTTATGTATGATGAATCTACTCAACATCGTGAAGTCCAAAAGCCGTCAACTGATACAAGAAATACATGTGATTGGTTTATAAAAGACGAGCCTATTGAAAATGAACCAGAATTGCCTGCTATTGTTTCACAAGAAAATCTAATTCAAGGTCGAAATGAACCTAGTAAGGAAACAAGCAAGAGAGTTCATTTCGAAGAAGTTCCTGACAATGAATCCAGGAGTCGGGTAGACTATGTTGAAATTTGCATTTTATCCTGCTCCGAGTCGAACTCACTAAAATCAGGTCTCAAGACCCCAAGTGCCGGTAAGAAAGGGGGCAAGGGTGATATCGTGCAGGAAGAAGCAGTTAGGTGTCCAGAACCCCTACACAAGTGCAAGGTTATTTATGAAGATGAATCTATGGTCATGAAGAAGCAAATAGATCTCGGAGTATCTCAAGAAGATTTAAGAAATTCTGTTGTCATGTGTGATGTTTCAGGTAATGGATTGTTGACTGAACATGAACATATTCAGAAAGTGAAAGAAGTTAGAGAGACTCTGAAACTTTTTGATGACGAATATACTAAACTTTTGCTAGAAGATAGAGCAGAAAAACATGAAGGACGGTCCAAAAGAAGTATCCATATAGAGGCAGCAATGGCTTTGAAAAAACAGAAAAAGTGGGTAAATTGTGAGTGGACTTTTGGACATGTTCCTGGTGTGCAAATTGGGGATCAATTCAGGTTCAGGGCGGAACTTGTTATGATCGGACTACATCACCAATTTATTAAGGGTATCAATTATGTGACTATTGACAGAAAAGATGTTGCATCTAGCATTGTTGATTCTGGTCGGTATGACAATGAGGCCATATCTTCTGAAACATTTATTTATGTAGGTCAAGGCGGGAATCCAAAAGTATCTGTTAATGCAAGAGTGGAAGATCAAAAGCTTGAAGGGGGTAATCTTGCCTTGAAGAACTCCATGGACTTGGGATATCCGGTGAGGGTTATTTGTGGTCGACAAAGAGTGAATGGTGAAAAGAGTGATATAAGATACATTTACGATGGGCTCTACACCGTGACTAAGTGTTGGGAAGAAAGAGCCCCAACTGGAAAATACATTTTCAAGTTTGAATTGAAAAGAAATCTTGGCCAACCAAAACTTGCTTGTGAACTAATGTCACGGCCAGCAAAGTTAGTCAAGGTAAATCAATTTCGTGTCAACAAGGCAAAAAATTCTATTTTGCAGTCGGAGTTTGTTGTGGACTATGATGTCTCCCAAGGAAAAGAGAAGATACCAATCCCTGTTGTCAATGCAATAGATGATGAGAGACCCTCACTGTTCACTTACATTACCAACATGCAATATCCAGATTGGTACTATATCTCTAGGCCTCAAGGTTGCAATTGTACAAGTGGATGCTTGGATTCCGAGCAATGCTCTTGTGCTTCTAGGAATGGAGGTGAAATTCCATTCAACACAAGAGGCTCTATTGTTAGAGCACAACCTCTTGTTTATGAGTGTGGTCCATCTTGCAAATGTCCCCCTTCTTGCAAAAATAGAGTTAGCCAACATGGTCCTCGATACCATTTGGAGGTTTTCAAGACCGAATCGAGAGGATGGGGTTTGAGGTCACGAGATCATGTCACATGCGGTAGGTTTATATGTGAATATGTTGGGGAATTGCTTGATGAAAAGGAAGCTGAAAATAGAATAGGCCATGATGAGTACTTATTTGATATTGGCAATTATGATGAAGAAATCCCCAAAAGGAATGTTGCGCGTAATAATAACCTCAAAGTTGAGTCAAATTCTTTGATGAGGAAAGATGAAGATGGCCTTACCCTTGATGCGTTAAGATATGGAAATGTTGGAAGATTTATCAACCATAGTTGTTCACCAAACCTTTATGCTCAAAATGTCATGTATTACCATGGTGATAAGAGAGTACCTCACATAATGTTTTTCGCTTATGAGAGTATTGCTCCATTAGAGGAGCTTACTTATCACTACAACTACCATGTTGACCATGTTTCTGATAAAAATGGCGATATGAAGAGAAAGAATTGTAGATGTGGCTCTCGGAAGTGCGAGGGGAGAATGTACTGAAGAACTACTCACGTAAGACTATTCCTCTTGATATGATATTTGAAGTATATGTTTTATAATCTTTGTGCACTTGTCATTTCAACATTTTGATTCCCTTGTTATTCCATTTACGTTTAATTGTGCAAACTTTGATCTCTTGTAACATTCATTATGCTTAATTTCCTACTTTTTATGACATTTGTTGGTCTTGGATGTAGAATAACTTAAATGGTTGTATAACCACATGAGGGAGTTAAATACTTATTCGGCCTCTTAGTTTTAGACTTGCTGAAATAAGGCTTACTTATCACCCAGGCAGGACCAAAATCCTTAAAAGAAACATTTGTCTAAACTGCAAATGTATGTTTTCCTATCAAGTAGTGGACTTTGTACACGAATTCATAAGTATTCTTCACTGAATCACTATATGATTGTTCAGTTGCTGATTCTGTTCAGTTTCTTTCATGTATGTTTTTGGTTGTGCGACTCAATTGAGTGATTTGTTTAATCTTGTTTCTACAGCCTGAAATTTCGAACTACTTATCAGCGGATGAGTTTTTTTCGTGGACTTGTAGCAATGAATACCAGCTTGTCACATGGGTGTATCAAGGAACTGAAATTTTTCTAGTTCAGCTTTCATGGAGTTTAGCTTAGCTCTTGGTGTTGATAATTGAACTCAATTGTTTTGTAACTACATTTTCGGCTTACTGTATTTGCAATGTTTGAACAGCTATTACTTTCAGTTCCTTATTTCCTGCATCAAGCACTTGAACAAAAGAGAAAATGACACTTCTTTTGCCAGCATTTGCTTTGCAGCTATTGTTTTCTAGACGTTTTTTTTCTAGAATTTCTGAATAAATTGTGTAGCTTACAATTATTCATTAGGTATTGCTTGGTATGCTGACTAAATTATCCTGGGATTAAATCGTTGAGCTAATTTATCCCCTCTCTGGGGTGGGGATAAAATAATCCCAAGTTTGATGGAATAAGGTGGAAATATTCAAGATTAAGGTTGAGATTAGATTTATACTGTGATTGATCAACGAATAAATTTACACAGTTGATCAAACACACTATAACCACTTATTAGCTAGTCTATTTACAATCTATGGTGGCCCTTATAAAATTAAAAAAGTCTTGAAATCATCCAAATATCTACAATATATCTTATGCAAGTTTAATATGAGAAATGACACTAACAAAGATGAAATAACCAGAAACTGCAATAATATACAGTTGGCTTTTTTTTTGTAAATTATATAACAGGTCGATGAAATAAATACACTAGTATAAAATCACAATTTCAAGCCAGTAAACAAAACATAGCTTACAAGAACAAACATGTATTTCTCTTCTGCAAACAGAGCGGCCTTAACCATAGCATCGGATGGGATCGTTGCATCCTTTCTCAACAGACTGCCTGAAACCAAAGCGACCCCCCTTTGCAAGGTACTGTTGATGATACTCCTCAGCTCTGTAAAATTTCTTAGCAGGCAAGATCTCAGTAACAATATTCCTGTTCAATATCTTTTGTTGTCTGTCTCGCGCTTCTAGTGCTGCCTTCTCTTGCTCAGGTGTATAGAAGTAAATTCCAGACCTGTATTGGGTGCCAACGTCATTACCCTACAAACAGCACAAACAAGCTGTTAGATAAATTATACAAACGCTGCTGTCACTAAAGCTTGTATCCACAATTATTTAGTACATAATGACCACTAACGAAAAATTCACAGTAAGAGGTACCCAAGACCACTAGAGCTAGTCCCAAAATAGGAATAAGAAAACTTGCAATTGGTGAGACGTGGAAGGTCCAAGAGTCCATTTTTCCAAGTTTCCAAAATCTACTTATTTTGGGAAGCACTTTTGTTAAAATAGCAACATGTGTTTGACAAATCCATTTGACAGTACTACAGAAGTCATTTGTATTTGGCCAACATTTCAAAATGTGCTTTTTAAGAGCTATATTACGAAAAGGGCATATAAGGTTTTCTAATGAAGTTTTCCAATTTTATTTCATCAAAATGCAGACAAGAGAATCACACAACAATTTTATTTTTTAAATCAATACCAGTATAATTAAATCGAAGTAACAAAATGAAAAATTATATACAATTACTCTAGTCTTATATGACGACTTAAATATATCAAAGTACATCATTCGATATGTATCAAGGAGGGATAGTTCGGTGTGTGTGTCTATATATTGTATAATTCTGTTTATAGTTGAGAGATATATGAGATCAAATTAAGGATGAATAGTTAGTAAAAGTATCCGGTAAGGTACTTTTTCCTTGAATAAAATATTTTTTCTACTTCCACTTCCGATTCTAGGATAAGCTACAATTTGTACTTCTTCCCTGTGGCAAAAAGGCCGTCTGCTACGGCTTAAAATTACTTATTTCTTCCTAGAAGCTTTCCCCAACACCTGCGAGCTCTTTAAAAAGAATAATCTTTTTGGAGAAAATAACTCAAGATGTTGAAGCCCGACCAACAGGCTATAAATCATCCAGAAAAAGGAAGCTAGGAAGAAGTGTCTAAAATCTAAATTACTGTTGGAATTTATCTCGAAGCACATAAAGTAATGCTTCAGACAAAATTCCTACACTAATCAATAAACCCCGAAGCTAATGCAGAGCTGCCTATTTATTTAGCCAACTATATACACAGGAGACAAAGTAAGCCTCCTGTGTTACCTTTCTCAAAAAAAAAAAAAAAAAAGTAAGCCTCCTATACTACTATATTTCATGGCATAAGTGGATATCAATAGAAATAACTCCAAATCTTATAACACTCTTTTTTTAGAAAACATCTAAAACGAAACCAATTCACTGTGGTTGCCCCTTAAAAAGGAACTGGATGCCAAATCCTCAAACTAGAATAACAAGGCAAAGTCTTTAAGCAAAACATGACCTTTGAAGATCTTAAAAGGCATGGTCTTTGAAGATAATTCAAAAGACATAATCTTTAAGAAAATGCAGCAATTTGATGATGTACCTGAGATGACATTTTACTTATATTAAAAAAAAAAAAAAAAAAAGGATGGTTGGGTAAGTGGACATTCAAAACTATGCTAAACATGCTTCTAGTACTACTAACTTTGAAGCCTATAAAGACCTGACTTAGGTTATGAACACCCAAACTATGCATACGATTGAATGCCCCACAAAGACTCAAATTGGGCAACAAGCTTAGCAACAGTGACCAAATACAGCTACCCAACCTAGAGGGAATAAGCTCTTAACTACTTACAAATCAATCACATTAACAAACCATAGAAATTCAAGATTCTTGCATCAATTTCTCTACCAAAATTCAACTTAAACCATTTGGGGTTAAGCAAAATGGCACAATTCCATCCAAAACAAAACAATTCAACCATTATTTACCACCACAAACAAAATAAACACAAAAATTTCAGAAACCCACCTGTCGATTGAGGGTGGTGGGGTCATGCCGATCCCAAAATACATCAAGCAAGGTATCGAAATTGCACTCCTTAGGATCATACTGAACTCTAACAACCTCTGAATGAAAGGTATTCCCAGAGCATATATCTTCATAAGTAGGATTATCCAAATACCCTTGTGAATATCCAACCTCTGTCTTGGTAACACCAGGCACTCTCTGAAACGCCAATTCGACACCCCAAAAGCATCCCGCTCCAAATTGGACAAACTGTTGGCCTGGGGCAGGGATGTCGGTGTCAGGTCCTTGTGGAATTGCAGAGGAAGAAGAGTCCATTGGCGTATCAGTACGAGCACCAAAACCCAATTTGTTGAGCCAACTCATCTTTGGTGGAGAGTAGAGAGATGGGGTTTTGGAAGTGCGCGGAAAGGGTGAAGAAAGTTTATGGGAGAAGGGAAGAAGAAGAGAGGGTTTGGAGAAGGAAATGAGTGGAGAAGTTGTGGTGGTGGTTATGGTGGAGGGGAGGCAAGTCTTGAGGAGCATTGTTGATCTATAAGAACTTTTGTTTGGATAAGTATTGGGGGAAATGTCAATGAGAATTTCCTTATAATAATGTTTTATTACTTTTTCTTTTACACCACTAGTATATTCCTATAAAAATTCAAAATCTATAACCCCTGTTCACAAAATTATTGAGACTTAATTTTGGTATTATTACAGATTGCCTAGAATCATTTGGTTTTTTTTTTTTTTTTCTGTTGGAATTTAAAACTAAAATTTCATAGATCTCAATTACTTTATTGATCATTAGACCACGTATTAGAGTGCATTCTTTTATATTTTCTAGTAGAATAGTTTGAGGATATTGAAAGGATAATAGTAAAGAAAAACAATATCACAATAATTTTGAACATAAACGTAAGTTTGATAATACGACTATAACATATGTTATGCTAGATTGAGCGAGTGATTTTCCGTTCCCCTACCTACAGCCTTCTCAGTCAGATTTCATCGCCCTAGCCAGCTACCGGCTTCTGGGAGGTTCCAAGAAAAATTGATCATTAGGATATACAAATGGTCTTTTTCTTCACGTTTTAAGAGTTTCAGGTGTTTAATTTATAATTAAAAAGACGTAGCATAGATGATTCTTTGACTAGAAGAATTCAAATTTTGTTTCTGTTTCTAGACTTTCGTGGGGTTGAAAATATATTAGAGATATCTGTCAAAGCTTATGATATGTTATTTATTTATTTAAAAATATATGGACATAGTATGTATGCGGAAAACGAAGCATACGCGGAATTTGGTCCACCTCTCGTGCACAACGAAAAAGGGACAGAGAAACCTTGTATTTTTAGAAGCATCTGGAAGGGAAAAAGGCAAAGATGCCAAAAAGATTTGTTAATTAAATGGATTATTTACCCTAACATGTTGCTACAGAGATGAACAACTAAATATACAGCGACAGATTCGACAAACATATGCAGATAGATGATGGTAAAGAGCACACGAACAGTTATCTTTACTCACAAAAACAAGGTCTACAAAGACTTGTCCACACATTTAAAAAAAGAAAACACCATCAAACGGCACCATCTCTTTGGATACACGATTCAACACATTCAAAACATGAGGCTGAGCACATCCAGCTAACGTTTAGCATACGCCATAAGAACTAGTTAAATGGGTTTGATCTTGAAATGGAGCGAGATCAGAGAGAACACAAAACACTTCAGATCCTGCAATGACAAATCCACAGTCACATACTGCTGAAACAAACTTAAAAGAAATGCATCAATCATACTCTGCTTTAAAAGATAATAACATGTCAGCAGTTGCAGACTTGCAGCAAGTTTTCAATTAACAATTAATTAGATCAAAAGAAACCAAGTGGGAGTTTAATTTCTTCCCTTCTTTAGTTCAGGAGACGTACTATAGTTTAGTTCTATGAAATCAGAAAATCTCACAGGAATCTTTGGCAACTCATACATTTTATTAAATGCATGTCCAAGAAACTACTGTTCCCCCTTACCCCTCCACGCACCCCTAGCCTCCCACCCCCAAGAAAAAAGGAAAGAAACATCTCCTCTTAATTTACTATATTCCGCTTCAGATAATACAACATCTTTATTCAAAAGTCACTTGCTAACAACATTCTCACAAGACACCTAATCCATCCAGCCTTTTCATATTCCAAGTAGCTTCAATATGTGCTTATAAAAAGCTAAAGTGGTTACTTTTCATCTATCTAAGTCTTGGTTAGCAGAGTTGCCTCATGCATGTGCTGGTGGGAGGTACCAGGTACCGGTGGAAGAGCCAGTCTAGCCACCAGCACTACTGAAAATGAAAAAAAAAAAAAAAAAGGAAGTCATTGTGCTTCGGAATCAACCACCAGTGCAAATTTTATCATTATTAGGGTGACAATATGTAGCTCAAATTCCTCCATAATTTTTCAACCAAGCAATGGAACTCTATGTTGCTCGGACTCTTCAAAAATGCCAATGGTTGCGTGTCGGATTCACCAAAAGTAGTGTATTTTTGAAGAATCCAAGACGAGTGCGGCATCAAAAGTGAAGAGTCCGCGCAACTAAGAATTGGAACTAATTGGTTGAGAACACGAAATCCTGGAGAATCTCTCCCAACATAAAAGGAACAGAGAAGATCATGAGATTTTTTTAAATGAGTGAGAGGATCATTAGATTTTAACAGTGTAGGACTAGAGACCACAGTTATTAAGGCAATCCTTTGGCCTGCGGCTTCAAATTACTTAGAGATTCTACGTTCAATAAGCACAGGCAGCCAGGACTAAAGTTCCCGCTATGCATGGGATCAAGAGAAAGGCTGGACCACAAGGGTCTATTGTATGCAGCCTTACCCTACATGCATCACAAAAACACAGGACGCATCGCAAAGTCAAGCCATCACAATTACAGCACAATACCAGTCAGAGGTGTAGTAACTACACATCTGGTATGAGCTGAGCTAGTTCACACTTTTATAAGTTTCAACTTGAGCCTGAGTTTCCATTTTGTAAAGTTCTATATACCAAAGTTTCTGCTTTGTTCCTTAAACAATGCACAATCTCATATATTTTTAGTGCATAAAATATTCTAAGGAAAAAAATTGCAGTCTTCTCCTTGATGTTTACCACTCAAAACAGTCAGACCAACTTCAACGCCATTGTATCCCTGGACCATCTGAAGTCCCTCAAGATACCACCACACGGACTTCAACCTTTCCGCTGGCCTCTCCGCACCTAGCCCCCTCCACCATTGTTCTTCTCAAGTCTAAATTCCAAAAAAAACCTCCCTCCCCCCTCTGAATCCTGATACCATGTCCTACTTTCTTGCCATCCTGGATCACTATTGTCATAAGGTAGGAAGTTAAAGGACTAAGATCAACAAGAATTCTTAATATCGAATGCTCTTTCTTTTCTTTTACTCCTAATAATTATAATCTCCCCCAACCCAACAAAAAAAGAAGTAAAACGATAATAAATACCCATCACTTTCTCTTCATGATCAAACCATGTTGTTATTGAAAGGGTGGAAGATGAAAAAAAGGAGAAAGTATGCAACCATAGAAGCAGCATTATGCACAATGAGACTACAAACTAAGTCCAGCTGCAATAAGAGGAGTATCTCCAAATCAAAGTCGCTCTTCTCTATTCTTGTAAAGATAGAACAGAGGCCTTCACCATCCAGTTTCCGATGCAATCTAAAGAGGGAGTTTGATGGGAGTTAATTTTTCTTATGGAACTCAGCAATTGGAACCAGATTAAGTCCAGAAGGTTCACATATAACAGATTTACACATTTGAACGACCATTTAACTGTTTACAACTAGGATCCTTGATCTGCTTTGAGTGAGTAATATATCTAGCTAATGAAGACTAATACCATATTGCTTGTACAGCTCCAAATAAAAGTGAAACATAATAATATTAAGTATCGTGCATCTAGACCATTTGAAAGAAGAAAAAGGATCCTCTAAAAGTAAACTCCGCTAGATAAAATGAGACCTACATGTATATGTAATAAAAATATAAAATATGGATGTAAATAGCCAGAATGATGTTCGCATTTCTATCAGAGCTATTTATATTGCATTTTCACACATTAATACGTACAACATTCCAACTTATTCCAAGAAGCTTTTGACATATCCACATAAAGAAGTAAAAAAGAGAAAATTATTGTAGATCATAACCTGAACAAGATAATAGAAGATACGAAGTCCCTCGGGATCATTACTGGTCTGCACATCCATTAATGAACCAATCTTAGATGTAGTGAATGATATGTGTTCATTTCCCATCACAATCTCAAGCTCTTGTCTACCAACTCTATCTGGTTCTGGCCAGTTGTTATCATCTTCCTTCATGATCTACAACAAACACACACGCAAATCCTTTTAATTCTTCCATTTTGTAATCAGAATGATAGTCAAGTTATTTATACCAAGGAAGTAAAGAGGTGGAAGAGATACAAAGTCGGAGTCGCACAAGACATCAGCCTGAACAAAACAAACCCCAACCCTCCACTGCACCTCTCTCCCCTCCTTAAAGAACCCTTCCTTGGACAACAATTCAAACAAGAAAAGTTCATCTATGTGATGACTAGAAATTTACATCTAGTTTTTTTTATGACGAATTTACATCTAGTTTTTTATGTTATCAAAATAATAATTTTGCTTCCTTGCAATGAACATTAACCCCAAAATTGCTTCAAATATAGTGGTTATCTTTCTTCTGATATGACGATTTCGCCTCTTCACTAACATTCTTAGATCCAAATGGCTCTAAGAATTGGTATTCCTCTCTTTTTATTAATCTTCCACAATCATTGGTCTTTAAAAGACTATGATCTTGGCAGAATCAGGACATAAGTAACAAGCGAAAGTTAGTCCTGAAAAAGAAAAATCCCACCCCTCCACCACAGCTCCTTCTAAAGGAACTCTTCCTAGGAAACCAATTCAAATGAATAAAACAAGAAAATCTCCTTTTCACCAAATTGATATCTAGAAATTTACACCTAGTTGCCATGTTATCAAATTGATAATTTTGCTTATCACCAATGAATGTTGCACCATAATTGCTCCAAATATCGTGATTATCTTTCTCCTAGGATGAGAATTTTGGCTCCTTACTAACATTCTTATATCATAATGGCTCTAAAAATTAGTATTCCAGTCTTTTCATTGTCTTTCCCACAGTCATTGACCTAGAAATAACTTGGATTTTTCCCACATCAGAACATAAGTAACAACCAAAAGCTAATGGACAGCACTCCATAGACAATCAATCAATCAATTATGCCTCATCCTCACATTAACTGGGGTTGGCTAGATATATAATCCTCCACATCATAGTTAGACTACTCATCCTTCAAACGTGCTTCCGACTGACGATTAAACCACATAAATAACATGTAGCAAAAAGCAGCTGTAAGTTAATCCAAAACCCTACACACCAAATTGAAAGGAGGAAGCGAGTTTGGCCGAAACCCTATTGTAAGCCAAAACAATAGAATGCAATGGAATAGAAGAAAAAGAGAGAGAGAGGGACA